GTGTCTGCATATTATCAGCAGATAAGAGTTGTATGTAATGGCTTACTTTTGCATTAAGATGGTCTACGCAAAAGTGACAAAGCGCAGCTTTGAAAAAGTGATCCTTGGCACTGTATTTCAGGAGCGTACTGTCCATTGCATGGGTTCCAACCTAAAAATAAATGAATAAATCAAAAAGCACAATTTAGCTTTACTTTCCAACTAAAGCTCGCGGAGGGATAAAACGTTGAAATAAAAGCTGCTGGGTGGCATTAACTCACCTGTTCGTAGATCTCAATAGCTTTTTGGTACTGCTCCAGCTGAGCTGCGTAGGTTGCTACTTTCAGAAGGCACTTGTTTGCTGAACTTTAAAAGGAAAAATCCAGCAATATGTCAGACCACACATTAACTGAAATCGAGGGTCCTAAATTGAAAAGTAACGCTACAGCTGTAAAACAAGACATAATATTAATGTATCAGAAATTTTAGATAGCACCTCATGTGCTCATTTGCAGTTCCCTACTTTAATTATTTGACTCCATTAGAATAGCTTCACACGATTCATAGTTCATTCTTAATTATCTTATACTGGGCACTAGTGCTTTTTTTAATCGTCTACAATGAGCAGTTTTAGACCAACTTCCTTTTGATGGATTGCCACTCCTGAACAGAAAGTTTGATGAACGGGTGGGTGGATGGAGCTGTGTGTCAAATATGACCAGATTAAAAATGTTTGCTCTTGTTGACGTCACACAGAGCCAAATATTGGAAAAAAACTAAAGTCTGAAACAGAGTATTTAGAGCAGTCTGATGCATGAGCTACTTGCTATATGAAAGTAATAGGGAACTGATGCACATGAGCAGCCAGCATAGTGTCTTTACACATTTACATTCTTTACTTCCCCAAAAGGCAAAAGAAACAGTGCTTATTTAAAATAGTTACCTGGTGGATTCTTCACCTCTGTAGTAATCTGCTGCCTGTTCATAATGAGCAATGGCCTGGAAAAGAAATTACACAAACATATACATGAATTGTAAACAGAGCTTATTATACTGTTCTTTGACAATTAATAAAAAGTAAACGTAATAAGGATTTAAATAAAAGGCAAGAAGAAACAGTTTTTAACCCAACCTTGTCAACGTCCACAAGCTCTGTTTCATATATTTCAGCAATGCTGATATGGTGTTTGGCTGCAATGGTGAAACGCCCCTAAAATATGATTTTTTTTAATTATAATTTTTTTTGGAAAAAGTAAAAAAAAAAAAAAAAAGAGAGTGAGAGAAAGCGAGAAATATGAGCTACCCTTTATGTTTTGCATCTGATTTCCTTAAAGATGCTCTTTAGAAATGAAACTGAAAAGAAACTCACCATATCCGTGTAAATCTCAATAGCTCGGTTTAGGCAGTTAATTGCCTCTGTTGAGAAATATATTCAAACAATTATTTTCAGATACATTTTACAATTATTCAGTAAACCAATGTTAGCAAAAAAAAACCCAAAAATATATACTACATAATAAAATACAACACAATTCAACAAATTAGAAGCTAGATAAAGGTTCAAGGTGTGAGTAAATATAGAAGGATCCCACTGTAAAATGAATTTTTTTTATTTGAACTCTTCTCCAGTGTATTTGTTCACATTACCAATTAATAACTATAATGTACAGGTTCATTACAAGACCAATATACTTTAGTTTGTGGCCTTTACTAGGATCAATCAGGATGCCCTTAGTGGTCTTTGTTGAGTACCACAGAAAACATTTAGGGTTGTTTTTTTTTCAGATCCTTATCCATCACCCAATACTATCAGGAAGTTGTCTGATTCTGCCCAAATTCATTCTACCCAATGACAACAATCCCACACAGGAACAAGATGGGCTATGAAATGTGTACTATGATGCAGGACCGAAAAGATTCATCAGGTAATTCGAATAACTTGATTGGGAAAAAAAAAATCCTTAGTACAAATTCAACAATTTCAACGCCTCATTTAATGTACAGCTCTATTCGTCACCATGTAAACGTGAACACGAGTGTTTCACCCACATTTGCAACTAAAAACAGACGTGCAATACAAATGTATTTAGGGGCAGAGTGAATATGAAATTTAACACTAAACCTACGCAGTCCCCAGTTTTATGACAAAAAGACTGACAACACAACAGCAGCACTGATGCTAGCACAGTTTAACGTGGAGCCGGAGTCTGTTCACACACTGCAAAAAAGAAAGAGGCAGCATCATTACAGAGATGATGAGCTCTCAGGTGGAGTCAAAGAAAATGTGTTTCTAGTATCCAAAACAGAAGCGATGTTCCAGTAATCGACATTAAAACCTTTACTGGAAAATGTCTGGAAAGAGTCTTTAATCAGAGCATCTGATTAACAAACTGTGACATGAAGAAAAGCAAACATTGTTGCTGCTCCATCTACTGCCGTTTGTTTTATATGGTGAAAAATCTGCAGTAACAGGGAGAGTCTAAACAGGGGAATGGGGTGTACTAGACCATATTTATTTCATGGCTTTTGTAACATTTTTCAGACTTAAAGTGAAATAATATACAATACTGTGTTAATGAAACTGCATTAATAGTTAAAAATAAAAAACTTTTTTTCATTAAACTCTTAGCCACTGCCCTGTGGGTTGTTAGATAGGATACTGAATTATTATTATTAATATTAATTAATGTCTGCACTTTCATAACGCCTTGTTTTCAGCAGTAGAAAACTTTGCATCAAAGCACAAGGAAAACTTTAGAATGCAGATATTTAGATCTCATTAAAAGGCTTACAGACAAACTCACTGCACTACTCACAACTATGAAGTATCGTACGTAAAGTTTTTAATGCCACATGATGGCCATTTTTTTAATATCTCTAAATCATAGCAGCTAAAATGAAATAATGAGATTACAATTAACTTCAATTAAAAAAAACAAACAAACAAAAAAGAAAATTTGTTTACTCAAATTCTTTTCTGCTTTTCTTTTATTGATGCAGAGCTTATGTGCAGCTGTCATGTGATAAAAGAGTACCTGAAACAGGGTCAACGCATGCTCTCACTAATCAGGAATTTGACTGTTTATAGTATTTGTATGAAGTTAAAGATTTAATAAAGTAAATAAAAGATTTAATAACATTTTTAAACCACTTTCACTTTTATTACTGAAAGCTTTTATATGAAAAGATGTAAAACTTACAAGTGTACTTAATCTATATTATATACCTCAAAGTGATGTATAAAGTTTACCTTGTGGATCTGCTTTTTTGAAGGCATTTCCAGCATCTATGAAGTTGGTTGCTGCATCATGTTTGCTCTGCATCTGCAGGTGAAGGTGAGCAGCTTGGGAGAATGCATTTCCTGCAGCTATTAAGAAGATAAATTGTTGCATTTTAAAATCACTGAAAAAAAGAAAGAGGCATTCAATACATTTGTTGTGTTGAAATGCGACAATCATCTTACCACACCAATTCTTGGCCATTTTGTACATGTTAGCTGCCCTCACCAACATGTCACAGGCTTCTTCCAGCTTTGAGGAGCCACTGTGTGACAAAACATGTTTGTTTTTTTTAATAAGACACCCATCCATTGCAGATTATCACAGGATGATATAAACACTTTACTCAGTAAAATCCCTTTGGAAAGATGTATAATAAGCAGATTTTTTTTCTTTTTAGTACACTTACATGCAAAATTTTAGCACCATAATATGAATATTTTAAAAGCAATGGGTCAAAACTTTATTCATTTTATTATTATTTTTTCCTCATTACTTCACATGTGCAGAAGACTGCCTTCTGAAATTTTCAGGGCTGACAAACATATTTAAGCTCCGTTTCAAAACAGCGACCAAATCGATTTTGAAATCCACTCTCAC